CCCACGGTCTCCGAATCCTCCACGGCCACCACCACGGCCACCGAAGCCTCCACGGCCTCCTCTAGCTCCACCACGGCCACCAAATCCACCACGGCCACCACCACCGGCAGACTTCTTCTTTGGCTTGGTACCGAATTCCTTTGGCTTAGGCAAGAATCTTTCTAATGGCAATAATTTATCTGGTCCAATGTAAAATTTGTCACCGTCCTTGAAAGAATCGGCTTGAACACCTTCAGATGGCTTAATAGTGAAAAAAACTTCGTTGACAGGTCCCAAAATTTCATCAACCTTACCGACTTGTGTCTTGTTCTCCAAGTAGATTGGAGCATTGAAATATGGAATTTTAACATTTATGGAGCGACAAACAATATCTCCCTCACAAGATTGCATAAAGCTACCCATTTCTAAAACGGTATCTGGTGGTCCTTGTTGAAATTGAGATGGTCCGGTTCTACCACCACGGCCACCTCTAAATCCACCTCTTCCTCTGTTCATTGCTGATTTATATTATATATGAATTTAAAAGAGCGATAGGGGTGCTATATCTACTAAAAACTCTAATATTAATGAAATTTTTCATTGTACTGTAGAAAAAAATCTATCTCATCGACATGAAAAAAATGACGCGACATTATTTGTTCGCGACATTATTTGCAAATCACAAATGTCGCAGGTCCTTCTCTCCCCGTCAATTTGGGTAGTCTCAAGTGTTATTTCATCATTGTGGCATCAGCTTCCCTCCGGGATTGCTTAGATAGAAACCTAGTCATAACCGCTTAAAAATAGCTCCGCTGGCATTAAACAACACTTGAGCCGTTCAGTAATACCAGTCAAAACAGGGTATTTTGCCGCAAATAGGAGTGCATACGGATTCTATTTCATGAAAGTCGTGCGAATGTACACAGTTGCTCCTGTAATCGACTACTAATGGCTATGGAAGAAAATAGACGCTACCTAGTAGATATATAGATCAATTAATTTCAAATTTATAATATAAATTGATATTAATAGCAATTTTTGACATTAATTGAGTACAAGATTCAATATGAGTGTTTCTCTGCGTATGTTTTTATGAGATCAGTCGGTCTGCAATCCCCATGGAGAATACAAATACTAACCAGACATTAGCTACCCCTACATTTAAAGTGGGACTTACATCAGAAGAAAAGAAGTTATACTCGCAGTTATTCAAGTCTTTGGATCCTGAGGGTACAGGAATTATAACTGGGGAGAAGGCCAGATCAACTTTTGAAAAATCGGGATTACCGCCGGCTATATTGGGAGAAATTTGGCAAATTGCTGATCAAAACAATTTGGGGTTTTTGACACAGTTCGGATTTTGTCATGCTATGAGATTAATAGGTTATACGCAATCTGGACAACATCCTACGTCGACGTTGGGAGATACACCTGGTCCATTGCCGAAATTTGCAAATTTGAACTTAGTTCAACCACCACCTTTACAGCCACAATCAACAAATAGTTCGTTCATGCAATCGCAGCCTAGTGCAATTGTGCCTCAGAATACGGCAACTCTACAATCAAAACCTCAAGATCCAATTTCATCGATTTCATCTAGTGATTATCAAAAATTTAGTCAACTTTTCATTAAAACTGTCGGATCGCCAAAAGGAGAGTTAAGTGGAAATAAGGCTAGAGATATTTTTATGAAAGCCAAGTTACCTACTACAACGTTGGGCCAAATTTGGGGCTTGGTTGATAGAGACAATAGCGGTAAATTGGATATGCCCAGCTTTATCATTGCCATGCACTTGATTCATGGTTTATTAAGTGGTGTTATCAAACAATTACCTCCTTTTTTGTCTGAAAATGTTTGGCAGTCAGTTCAAGCTCCTGAAGCTAATTTACAACCTCAAGGTTCGCGTCAAGCCTCCTATAACTCTATTAATTCCCAGCAAACCACTGTTAGACACCCTCCATCAGCTGGTACACAAAGCCAATTTCAACAACCTCAATCACCACATAGAGATGTATCTACACCACAAGGTGCCAATAGCTGGACAGTAACCCCTACCATCAAACAACAATATGACTCTATTTTCGATAATTTGGATAAATCTAAATCAGGCCAGCTATCTCCTGACCAAGTAGCTTCCATTTTAATGACTTCAAAGTTGAACCAACAAGACTTAGCTACAGTTTGGGATTTGGCTGATATACAAAATACAGGTATTTTTACAAAATTAGAATTTTCTATAGCGCTATTCTTAGTTAACAAAAGATTAGCCGGAGATAAATTACCTAATATTGTTCCTGATTCATTAATTGATTCTATCAAGAATATCGGTGAGCCTCAGCATCAATCAAATTCAGATAATAGGAACGCTCCACAAGTAAAGCCTATTGAAAGGCAGAAAACTGCCATGGATGATTTAGTAGACATTTTTGGTCCAACGTCAAATACGAGTAGTGCTGTACCAGCGGTATCTCCTACTAATTCCTCAGCTCATCATGATGTAAGTAGGTCGCTTGAAAAGCGTACGTCAAGTAGTGACTTAAGTCATCCTGGTGATTTACCAAAAGTTAGGAAAAATTTGTCACAATCATTTCAACCGACGTCTTCTTTTGGTCAAACTTTAATGAACAAACATCAATCTTTCACACCTACTAAAGAAGAGAAAGTAGAAGAAGATTTATTGGGTGAAGATGTTCATCATGAAGCTGAGCCAAGATCACCACCTCCTGTGCCAGAAAGTAAGAAAATCAATTACGATGCCTTAAGATCTGTTCCTCCTCCGCCAGTGAAAAGTCAACCATCGACTATTGGCTCCGTATCTTCGCCTGCGAATCAGTCATCCGCCTCTGGGTATCAGTCTCCTCCGCCTGTTCCAGTACACAATCATAATGTTGGAGGTGTCTCGCGTGAAGGGTCATTTCAACAACAGAAAGCATTACCAAGCCAAAATGATGATTTATTGGCAGATGCTAATCCTGAAATTTCAGGCCAATTATCTCAAGCCACGTCAGATATCGCTAATCTTTCAAACCAAATAAAATCCTTAACGACACAGACTTCAGGTTTGCATGAAAAGAAAAGTCGAGCTGAGCAAGAATTATCGAAGATTTTATCAACGAAACAAGATATTGGAAACAAATTAAAGACATTGAGATCATCTTATGAAAGCGAGGTTCAACAATTTAATCAAGTTGAGTCCAATTTGGCCACTGCCAAAGAGGAAACAGAAGCCTTAAGATCAGAAACTTCTATATCGGAAGCAAGATTTAACAGTTTAACTTCTGACTTGAATGAAAAGCAAGTTACAATGGAAAACTTACAAAAAGAAAATGCAGCATTGAAAGAAAAGCTAGGTAACTTAAATGCTGAAAATGCTGAGCTTCAGAAACAGACCGAATTGCGAACAAGTGAGCTTCAGCAATTAACGAACAAGTTGTCGGTTACTAAGTCGCAAGTCCAAGTAGCTCTTGTTAAAAACCAAGAATTGAAAAATAAACTTTTAGAAATGGAAAATAGTAGTAAAAATCTACAAAAAGAAGTCGATCAAGCTGAGCAACAGCACAGTGATTTCCAAAATGAAAGCAAAAATTTGTCTCAGCAACATGAGGACTTATCTAAATTCCAACCTTCTAAAGAGAATTCTGGTTTATTTGGTAATGCCAAGGGTTTAGCTGTCGGAGCTGGTGTTGGTTCAGCAATCGCTGGTGTTGCAGGTATGGTAGGTCATAGTATGGGTCATGACGAGTCGTCGACATCAAATAGAGATGAGCAACAAGAATCATATAATCAGAATGCTTCGGATGAACAAAGTTTCAGGTCAAGATTCAAGGTAAGCGACTTGGTTGATGAGGTTAGAGACAAGCCAAGTGCAGACTTAACAGGTGTTGATGATTTAGAAAATGTTAACAAAGATGCATCTTCATTCCCAAACGCTTCGGAGCAAAATAATGAGCAGGCCACGGATGAATTTAGAGATAGATTCCCAAGATTATCTACTAACGAATCGACCGAGGAAAACAATACAAATGCCACGGCTCCATCATCTACGGTAATGACTGAAGATACTGATGGAAATGAAACTCCAGTTACTTCACCAAGCAATTCAGACTTTCAATTCCCCGAAGGATCTAATGCTGGCATTGGCGCAGGTATGGCGGGAATGCCTGGTATGCTCGTTGGGGTTCAAAGAACAGACTCTTTGACCTCTAGTGTTCAAAATAATGCTGCTCTATCTGTTCGTGATGATAATATTGACGAAGTTAGTGATCGCGATACTATTGATAATTTAACTGCCCCTAACACTGCAGGAACTGCTGTTGTTACCCATAACGAATTTAAAAATGACAACAACCAGGAAGAATCGAGTGACAAATTATCATCAGGGGTAGAATCTTTTGAAATGGTGAACTCAGATGATGTTAGGGATCAATATAATTCTCAAGACAAACAATTTGGAACTGGAAATAGAGAATCATTTGTTATGAGAAACCCCCTTAATGTTAGAGAAGATTCTGATTTGCCAAATCCTTCAATTGATGATGAATTTCCTCCAATTAAAGAGTTAGATTATGATGAAAGCTCCTCTGATGATGAATCTCAGAACGATAATTATGATGATGCAGTAGATAACTTGCCAAGTCAATCTAAAGAAGCACCCGTCAATCAAGCTTCTCAGGATGATTTTGACAGCGCATTTAATGATTTGCAACCGGCTGCCCCTGAAAATCATGGAAGAGATTTGTTTGCTGATGAATTTGATAATCTTGAGGCTGCTCAGGTTGATGATAACTTGAATGATGAATTCGAAGGTCAGAACCAAGATATTGGGTTCTCTGAAGATTTCACCAATGAACCATTAGGCCAGAGTGATGCTTCGTATTCGCAATTCAATCATCAATCGGCTGAGCAGTCTAACAAGAACTCTAACGATGAATGGGAACAACTTTTTGCTGGATTTGGTAATGCAGAACCAACCTCACAGACAGTACAAGAGCATTCTGAAGCAACACAATCGAATTCATCTCAGTATGATGCAATTCAAGAGTTAGTTGGTATGGGATTCGATGAAAACACTGCAGCTAGAGCTTTAGCGAAAGAAAATGGAAATTTAGAGGCGGCAACCAATTATTTATTAGATAACGCTTGAATCTAAATTCCAATACGTTTTATTTCTCAGTTTTTATTTTTATATTTATAATGTGTTCCATGTAATATATGTATTTATCTATTTTATAATCTAATATGTATTTATCTACAGTTTAATTTAAATCGATTTTGTATATTTGTTTTATTTTCCTATCCCATTAAATAGAATTATCTACATGTTTTTATTTGCTTATTTTAAAAGCTTATCTAAAGCTTCAGCAACGTCACCGACATCGTATTCTTCCTTGTTCAAGTCTTTCAAATCTTCAACTGGTCTTTCAGCTTGTGGGGTGATCCTGAAGGCATGTCTAGAGACAGGAGTATCCCAGTCAATAACTGCAGAGTGAACAACTCTTCTGTTATCCCAGACAACAACGGAGTTTGGTTCCCACTTAGCTCTCATTTGTAAATCGTGAGCAGATTCAATATGTTGGTATAAAAAGTTAAGTAAATAGTCAGATTCGTCTTCCTTCAATTCAACAATTCTTCTGGAGAATGGACGATTCAAGTATATGAATTTATCACCAGTAGCTGGATGTTGTCTAATCAATGGATGAATATTTGAAACTGGCTTTCTTCTCTCGATACCACCCTGTGTACGGGAATTGCTTGCTTGATCCTCGGAAGTGTGTAAAACATGTAAACCAGCAAGTCTCTCTTTGAATTCTGGAGATAAACGGTTGTAAGCTTCAACAACATCAGCAAAAATGGTGTCACCACCAGCATCTGGTCCTTGTAAAACAGTGAAGAATGTAGTACCTGGAGGTTGCAATTCGTATGAAACATCTGAATGCCATCCGATAGAATTTAATCTATTGGAGAAGACACGGTTGAATTCACCTTCATCAGCACGACGGTAAGTAATATGCAATTCTGGATGGTCTTTTGGAGCACCAGAAGTTGGGTGAATGTGCAAACGTCCAAAATGGCTACCATATTCAGTAGCAAACTTTGGACCTTTGGTTGCGAAATCTTGTTCCCTAAAGACAACAACACCTCTTTGCGCGACGAACAAGGCTAATTCGTCCTTTCCTTTATCGTCTAACTGTGACAATTGGATACCAGTGATTTCTGATCCCAATTTAGGTGTAATTCTTTTATGGACGTGGTCCGAGTCTTTTGGAAATAAGTTTTGTAACGATTTGTCAGCTCTAGCACCTGGATCCAAGTGTTTGAAAAATTTCAATGGTCCATATTTTTGTCTTGGGTCCCAAGTTGGCAAAAACTCAGGGTATTCCAGTTGATCTCTGTTTAACTTGTTGATAACTAATGTACCATCATCGTCAATTTCGTCTGTACCTTCAACGAAATGAATATCGAAGTTTCCGAATAAGTTTCCTGATTTTGACATTTTATGGTATCGTTAATATTCACTTTGATAAGAAAAAGTTAATAAGCCTGTATTCTATATTTATTTCTGTGTTTAGGATTTGCTTGAATATTTATAATGCCAGTACCAGTATATCCGCAGCCACAACAATAGCCATAGTTCTATAATCCAATCGTGAAAACTTTGCAGATATATTTCCGTTGCATCCACAATCCACAGTATAGTGCTATTGGATTTTTCACCTATTTCGCAGTCTCGGAATGCGCCATATAGATCAATTAGGAAACACCACAGTCAATTGCACAATTCGATGCTATTTGATTAGTAAAATGACCCATTATGCAGTGCTGTAACTGCACTCCGTGTTCCCGAGTCTGATGTTACAGATGCTTGGAATTATTGTATATGCATAGTCTTTTTGTTGGTCCTTTCTATAAGTCCTTATCTTTATTTTGTTAACCGCACTAAAATATAGTAGATTTTACAACTGTGGCTCTTATTTACACAGGCTGTAAAACCTATTCTAATCTTCTAAGAGCTTTGAAGCATCTGAGAACTGCCACTTCTGTCCTACCCATGAATATACCATTAATTGGTATGCTTAACCTGGCTAGCATAATTACAAGTAGTTTTTCCTAGTAAAATACTTGAAATGCATGTGAAATTGAACCCAAAAATTCACTTCAATTTCACATGCAATTTTTCAGGAGTCGCGTGCTAGGTGATTAGCATTGAAAACTTACGAAAAATTGATGTGGTTTTGTGCTCACTTCCCGTGCAACTTGCAAAACAGCTCGTGCTTCTTCATCATGTCAGGTGGCGCACCTGCTTGACAATTGCTATTGCTTCCGATCCAAAACTACCTGATGTTCGAACCTTGCGAGCGTCAGCTATCTTTTTTGTTTTTGCCCGTTTTCAAAATGGCCGCTGTCGCCATGTCCTAACGTTTGAGTCAAATAGCCGCAAATTCGCCCTACCCTGCTGTTTACAGGAATAGTGCAGCATTACTCACAATTTGTTCTATATTCGCTTCATTTCTAGTATAGGCCTACAACTATTTTTAAGCAGCATACTACTGCACCGTAACCTTTATTGACCCATAATATACATAATATACATAAATAATTTAATCTGACGAAACTTGACATAATTCTTGATGACTGTCTACGGAAGTGATTATGAATTTCAGCTCAGATGATTCATTCTTTTGCTGCACTTGTTCTGCGTCCTTAATAGTGTATTTAGACTTCGGCACATCGCGTCCTTCCAGTTTAAAGCTCACTAACTTATAATTGGAATTATCCAAAGAGAGCGATCTGATCTCGTCGTCGCTATGTAAGTCTATGGGAGATCTTGGACTTGGGTAAGCACTCATTGGGGAAGCTGTAGGAGAAGAAATTGGTGTTTTCATAATTTCTTTAGTTTGAGGTGCTGAAGACATCTCAACGACATTAGATGTTGGCCAGCAACATGACAAGAAGTTTCTGGTACATGCCTGGCACTTTCCATCGATTTTCTCTTCATCACACTTCTTCTTTCTCTTACGGCAGGTAAGGCAACCAGTTTTGGTGCGCTTTTTGCCGGAGGTTGACGCAGGCTTTCGTATAGATCTGAGTTTCTTGACAACTTTAGGTTGCTTTGTGTTCAAGCAAACAACTTGCTGGTAGTTCTTGTAGTTCATTATTAGTTGGACAGAAAGAAATGAAAAATTTTTCGAATCTTAATGTGTTGATGAATAACTATGTAGAAAGGAGGATTTCAGGGCCATAGTGGTGATATTTCAAATGGAAACCAAGCGCGTGGGAAAAATTGAAAACGATAACCCACAACGAAAAAATAAACCAAAATGGAAATTCAGGACGACATAAATTTCCCCCTATGGAAGGAACAAGAGGTCAAAATTACCCGCGATGACAAATTGTGGTATGGGTGTTCTTGATGCATGGATTTATAAACACCCTGTGACTTCAATTATTTAGAACACTTTTGTGTAACTTACGCTGGTAGGTATTAAGTGAAAAAAAAATTGTTGGCTAGACATATAGACAATACCATCACTCTTAAGTAGTATTAATCATTCAAATATGCCAGTTAAAGCTATACCTAAAGTATCTATAAGTCGGAATGGTGTTGGAGCATACGTTTTGCCTTGCCATAGAATATCCGTGCAATATTGTAACCACGGTGGATCATCGAGTGGTATTCGTGATTTGTTAGCGTCAGGTTCATTAAACTCCATGGCATCGGCCAAATCAAAAATATACTTTGACATAACGAAGCAGAAAGGACACCCAAATTTGGTATTCCATTATAACAACGATCACACCAACCAGGTTAGTATTGCCAATTTGCCAGCCAGTGAAATAATGAATAAGATTAATGAACACTCACAAGCCACTGGAAACAAATTATTTAAATGGAACCACAAAGTATTATCTATCAATGAGTCTGTTAGAGGTATTTGGTCTCCATTGCATACAGCAAAGGAAAATAGACATAAAATTTGAATGCAAATATTCGTAAATTATCATAATGTACATAGGAAATAAAAAGTTTTAGCATACGGAGAGTGTAGAATTTTGATATTTATATCTAATATGGAATCTTTTTAGTATTCCATAAATATATACATGGTCAATGATAATTCTTGATGGTATTTTTGATATTTATTTAAGCACACATTTAATTTCTGTTTCTGAATAAATAAAAAGTTGATTTTGTAATTTTTGTTAAAGTTTGCACTTTCTTGAGAAATTCTTAAACTTTAGATTTCTACAATATACTATTCTATAAAAGCTTCCGATATTAGACCTACAATAACTATTCTTTTCTATGCACTTATTATTTATTAGTTTATATTTTCTATTTCACGCCTTACTATAATACAAATTACCCAATTGTTAAATATTTCCCAATATGTAAATCGATTAGATGACTTTTACTTCAGAATCATCAATGATCTCTTCATCAAGCTGACTTGTTTCATCCTTTGAAATTTTATAAAACTTATTCCTCCAGAATCCATCTTCACCAAGTACTTCTTTCGCAACCAACTTGTATCCACCGAACTTAGGTAAAAGCTTGGCCCAGAACAACCAGTATACAGCACCAACACCGAAGACACCCCATGTGACAACTGGGTGAATCCAATAAGGTAAATCCTGATAAACAGTTTGTCCATGAGTTGGTGGAATATATGGAGCAACGATCAAATATAAAGAGGAAAATGCAAAAAATACAATGACCGGAATTGATGCTTTAATTGGAGGATCCCATTCCACCAAGCCTTTACGCTTTTGCCAGTAAATATATAACAAACCGAAAGCAACTGCAGTATTCACCACATTTAATGGATATGAGATCAAATTTAAGATAAAATTGTAGGCATCCCCTGGAGGAGGAGCCACGATTGTCACAATACAAACTATCCAATGTTGCATTAAACCAACAAATGGAGATCTAAATGGCTTTTGAGTTGCAAAAAATCTGGAAAATGGTAAACTACCCTCTCTACCCAATTGTTGAATAATTCTACCTTGTGAAAAAATAACCGACATAACGTTACCTAAAGCTGATAAAGCAACAAATACGGATGATGCAGTTTCTGCGGTCTTACCAAAAGCATATCTGAAGAAAGAAGCAGCCAAAATTCTACCTGAATTAGCGATCTCTTCCTTTGGCACAACGGCAAAGTAGGCAATATTAACGAACATATAAATAATCGCCAATGAAATGAATGCAGTAGGAGCAGCAAAACGCAACACTTTAACAGGATTCTTCACTTCACCTAAAGCATAGTTGATATTTGAGTAACCAACATATGACCAGATGACATTATATAAAGCATTCACAATCCCAAAACCTGATGGAGATTCACCTTCGAAGGCATGAGAAAAGTTGTCAGGGGCGTGGAAACCATTTGTATGGATACCACCGGCGAGGGCAACCCAACCTGTAACTGTAATCAACAAAACAATAGCAATCTTGAATAAACCTAACAAATTACCCAAGAGTAATCCAAATTTAACATTTATCCCGTTGACTATAAACGCAAATGTGATCACACCAATACCAATTGCTCTGGAATTCCACTGCGTTACCTCAACTTCTGCTGCATTCAAAAGGTATTCACCGACCACAATAGAGTTACCGGCAGCCCAACCCAAGAAAAAGGCATATGATGCATACATTGCTGTTATTAAGAATCTTGGTTTCTTATAAATGTACTCAAGGTAGTTCTTTTCACCCCCATTTCTAGGAATCGCAGATCCAAACTCCATGTAAACGTATAAACCAGTGAATGCAATAATAGAACCAGCAGCCCACATAATTAACGAAGTACCCACAGATCCTGACAATGTGAAAATGGTAGAACCGGTAGAGAAGACACCGGCACCCAACATTCTGTTAAGACATAATGAAGTAGCAGACAAATACCCAATTTCCTTTTTGTTTTGATCTAATTGTACAACAGCTGCTTCTTGGTCATTACTCGAGTCGTACGATACAGTTTCGCTGTTATCGTTCGTTTCTTCAGCCGAAGATTGCTTCTTATAAAAATCTGTAATCCCCATCTATCCAATTTGTTTCTAGTAGGCTATTAGCTCTCACAAGATTTTCAACAAGTATTTGTTCGAAGCCGGTTTGAAACTTAGATGATTACTTGAACAAATCTGTTTTAGAGACTTTTAAATGGAATTTATAGAAAGGCATTTCTTTTTCGGCCCTGGAAAAAAGAATTATCCATACTTTAAGCCTCGGTCGGATCTTTAACGGTTTTTGCCTTCGATGCCGCATTAAGTTCATATATTTATGACCGGTAATACCCTCGGATATAAAAATATACGGCATTTCTACTTCGATGCCACAACCTAAACCGCTCCTTCCATAAGTTATTTTCACTTTCAGCTCTTGACATAATATCACGAGATCCACAGTATCAGGTTAGCCGTACGTGTTACTATACGATAGAAAGCTTAAAATTCACAAACTACGAAAACCACAGCTTCATGTAACCCGCTGCCCTTCAATTGACCTCATTAGAAGACTTAGAGTCTAATTTTGCAATCAGCAAAAAGAAATCTATAAGCTTTTTGCCTGCAGTAGCGAAGGTTGCAATTGTGAAATTTCACGTGAGTGACTTAGCTGAACCGTTGTAGGAGCGGAGCGGTCTGGTAGAATATTGTATTGCTGCAAATGGCCACAGTATATACGACGATAAGAAGGAAACTACCAATTGAGCAGAAAAGATAAGGCGGGGAGAGAATAATTTTAATAAGGAACGGCATTGCATTGTTACGTGAAAAATAGTGGCTAGAAAGCACGATTAATTAAAAGATACGATTTGGATTCAATTTTTGCAAACGAGTATATACACAGAAATTTGAATAGTATACAGCTATCTATAAGTGAATTTTAATTCGTTTATTTGAGCAATGCTTCGATAGCTTCCTTAGCTATTTTTAAGTTAGATTCAGATCCGACTAAGTAAATGAAGTTGGCATTCTTATCGTTGGATCTAGGAACGGTGATAAAAGTGCTCGACTTCTTTCTGATATCATTAATCTTTGAGCCTTGGGAGCCAACAACCTTGTAGAAGGCTGAGGGGTTCAGGGAATAATACCAACCAATAGAAGTGGCATTCTTGGCATTTTCTAATCTTTCTTGGATTAATTTAGCAGCTTTTTGAGTATCCTTCTCGTCACCCTTCAATCTCCATGGAATTACGTCGGAGCCACCTGAAACTTGGTCATTTGAAACAATTGTGAATTTTGTTTTTTCGTCCTCGTTTGGGTACGCATCTTCTGACGGAGTAGGAATTGGGGCACTCGATAACTTGGAGGCTTTTCTAGTCAAGTTTCCATGTTGTACTTGAACGTTGAAATCTGCTTGCAACTTCTTGAAAATAGCACCTTTTTCTGAAACTAATGCATGGTAGTTTTCTGGAATATCGATTGAAATATTCCAGTCATCCTTGGTTAATGATTCAATCTTAGCCTTCAAGCCTTCGATCTGCTCTGGTAAACCAACTAACTTAATAATAGTTGATTCATCATTTGGTCTTGGAATATCAATCTCAGCTTTAAATTCGTCTTGCAATGAGTGGCGAATAGAACCAGCTTGTCCAACAATTAATCTATGCTTTTCTTTTGGCAAGTCGTATTCGACAGTAACTGAAGCTTCTTTAGCAGCAACGATCTTCTTTACTTGTTCGATAATCTTATTCACAATTGCCTTGTCTCCTTGAGATGTAACCTCATCAGAACCAGAACCTTCATTTGGAATCGTCAATAATCTAAAATACTTTGCTCTTGGAACATCTTCACCACCAGCATTGGCAATAATCTCCTTCATAACCGAACCACCTTGTCCAACTAATTCACGGTGGTACTTTGGATCAACATTGATCGTAACAGTAGTGAAGTTTTCGGCTTCATCAATGATTTCTTGAATCTTCTTTGTTGCCTCCTTCAAAGCTGATCTGGAACCGGTTAATTCAACTTCTGTATATCCAACTTCATTTTCGTTGTTGTTATCTCTGTTGAATTTATATTCAATACCACTTCCGTCAGCAATATCATTGATTGTTTCACCAGACTTACCAATAACTCTAGCGATGGCTTTAGTTGGTACCTTCATAGTTTCTTTGAACCCATTTTCTTTTTCAAATTGATATAATTCCTTTAATTCTTCTTCTGCTTTAGCAACACCTTTAGATGGTCCCTTAATGGTGACTTCATCCTTAGATTTTGGAGCATCTGCAAATGTAGAAGCAGCATTATCAACAGACGGAAATCTGATTTTAACATCATACTTGTCCTGTAATCTATTAATATAAACACCACTTGGACCAATCATTCTTCTGTGGTATTGGCTTTCAATTCTCAATCTTACTAACGTTTCATCTGCCCACTTTTTGGAGAACTGAGAAATTGATGCTTTAGCTTCTTCTGCATTTCTTTTGTTACCAGAAATGACTATTTCGGTTTTGTCATTCTTGTCTTTAGTTCCTTCTTGCTTTCCGTCATCACTAACATCTATCTTGACACCATATTGTTCTCTTAAACTAATCATATTTGATCCATTCTTTCCAATTAATCTTGACAAAACTGATGATGGGACTTGAACAGAAGTCTTGAAGCCACCTTGTTCTTTATAAATTTCTGCATCTTTCAAAGTTTCTTCAATATCCTTTTGAACTGTAGAAACAGCAGACTTAATACCATGGATATAGATTTCATCTGCAGATTTATCAGAGGCATTTGAATGCAATTTCACAACAACTGAGTTTTGTTCAACTCCAGATAAGATAGCTTTCAAAGTAGTGTTTCTTGGACCGGAGACTTCACTTTGCTGGCCGGAAGGAACTTTCAAGACAACGGAATGTAAATCAGAACTTAACTCCCTTAACTCGTTAAGTGCATTGTCGATTGCTGCGAACGAATCCGAGGAATTAGGTGAATCTACGAAATCAAAATCATCGGATTCATCTTCCACGTTCGAGAATAAAGTAATAGTGTTACCTAAGATAACATAAGAGACACTATTCTGAGCAGCAACTTCATTGATAATAGATGGAACTTTTCTAATCAAGAATTCAGCAATATCATTGATAACCTTGGTCGAATCAGGAGAAATTTTGTTCACGACTGAGACTATTGATTTTCTAGTAACTTTAGCTTTTTCGGTATCATCGTTCTTCAAGACAATCTCAATTGGGATTGTGGTTGAATCTTCTGCTTCTAATTGCTCCTTAGAAGGTGCGTTAATAATAACATCATTAGCATCAGAGATGTTTTTAAAGGTTCCGTTCTTGACCAACAAAGTGGCAACAGCCTTAACATGACTTAAGTTACCCTTGTGTGCCTTAGACATGTCTAAAACTTCGACCTTGTATTGTGATGTTGTTTTTCTTGCATTTTCTTGGGCAGCTGAGATATTTTTCTTTTCACCGATAAACTTAACATTTGTTTCACCGTGTTCTGGTAATTTTATCAAAACGTTGTTCTCTTCTAAAATAGACTCAATTGGCAAGAACTGATGCTTAGTGCTAGGGATTGGAACTTCCTCCATTGTAATCTTCTCTGATAATGCATCTAAGGCTTTTTTAATTTGCTCTTTAGCTTCTATAACAGATTCTCTATCACCAACAATATGAATGTTCGAATTAGAGGACTTGTAGTCCGGAACAGCAATATCTAAATCGGCATATCTCTGAACAATAGGATCGATAGCCTTACCTGCAAATGGTTTAACTATATCTTCTATAGCCAAACGTGTAGATAATGTCTTAGTTTCTTCTTTGACAATAGCTAAAATCAGGGCCTTCGCATGCTTACATCCTTCAACGTCACCTTCAACTATAACCTTAACAGTTTGTGCAAAAATATCATCCTCGGTTTCAACTTCTTGGGTTTCATCTGGGTGACCAATATCAATCTTAACTTCATTGGATTGAATAATTGGCTTCAAAGTACGGCCTTGAGGACCAATGACCTTAGATCTAACTTTAGCAGGAACGTTGAAAGTGATTTTAACAGGCTTGGTCAACTTCTTAATTACTAATCTTTTAGCTAACTTGACCTCTTCTGGCTTACCGGTAATTAAAAAGGTTCTCTTCTTTGTATGCTGGGAAGTGGTACATTCTATGTTGGTTTTAGTGTCAGTCTTAACAGAAGTAAGAATCTTAATGAATTCTGGTCTTGCAACATTTAATTGATCTTCAGCATCCAATGAAAATGCTTCTTGGATGGTCGATCCTTTGAATTTACCAGTTCCAACGGCAGATGTAGTCTTCATAGCAGAGGCGGATTCAGAAACAGACTTTGGCGTCTTCATTGCAGGTCCCCACGATGGGGTTGATGACAGAATTGATGATTTCTTGCCCCCTAATGTAGGGAAAGCAGAATCATCCGAAATTGAAGGTGCCGAAGTCGTCAAAGACGCTTCACTCTCATTGAACGAATTAAGATCGTCAGAATCGGACGAAACCTGAATTGGTGATTCAGCATTCAAATTTTCATTTTCTTCATTAGGATTACTGATCCCGTTAACACGAGCAGCAATAATTTCGGCAGGGGTAGACATGTTCAGCAGTTTTCGATTTTTTAAATCAGTGATACAACAAATGGGCAATGCTTAATTATAAAGCAGCAGGATAACTAATTAACAGGTAAACAAGTATGAATACAAGCAAAACAATTCCGATATTGATAGGATATCTCTATTAAAGATAAGCTTGTATAAGTATAATTACTTAATGTATTCAATTACGGTTTTTATTACGACTTTTTATTAGCAGTTGATCTCAATACCACGTAATTTTTTTTGGGTGAGACTTACGAGTGAAAAATAAAAAAATAAATTTAGACGAGCTCCACTACATAAATAATCACATATACACATATAAAGCATTAATAAATTCAGAAGAAATAATCTTTTTACCCGATTATAAGGTTTCATAAAGAATTTCTCTGAGTCTATATTCTTCGTTTGCTTCATCAACTTCTTGCCAATTACCAATATAATCATCCCCTCTAATAACACCAGGCAATGTCTTGCCATTGGCTTGTCTCCTCCAAATCTTTTTGGCCTCTTCATCGGTACCTAAATCACGATATTCAAACTTGATACCATTAGCAGTTAAGATTGTAGTTAGCCTATTGGTTCTTGTCATAACTTGCATACCACCGGCTAATGACGTATAAATATAGACAGGTTGCGATTCTAAATGCTTGCGTAACTCTTCGGGAGAGACATCGATGTCACTCAAATCATCATCTACGGCAGTTGCTTTAGTGGAACCAGTTGGCATATCTTTTGATGCGACCGGACCTTCTTCTTTCAGTCCCGAGTCTTTAATCACAGCCAGTTCAGTTTCTTTGTCTTTCTTTTCAGCAAGATCTTTGGAAACGGCCTTAGAAGAAGAATCAGTCAAAAGATCACTAGCAGTAAGTGACTTTGCCTTTTCAGTGACACCACTGGAATCGGTACTGGATTCAATTTTTTCAACAGCTTTATCATCCAAATCTTTCTTACTTACTTTTTCTTTTTCTTCATCTACTGCAACTGATTTAGTTTGAGCAATTGGGTCGGTCACAATTTCATCAGCAGTGAGTGACTTTGCTTTCTCAGAAACTTCGTCGTTAGAATCAGCACTGGATTCAATTCTCTCAACGGCTTTATCATCCACGTCCTTCTTGTCTTCGTTTTCAATTGCTTTATCTTGAACAACAGATTTAGATTTAGAAGTCGATTCCGCTACAATGTCGTCTGCCGTAAGGGACTTTGCCTTTTCAGTGACATCACTGGAATCGGTACTAGATTCAATTTGTTCAACAGCTTTATCATCCACGACGTTTACTTCCTCCTCCTTTGTATGTTCTGCAGAATTAACTTTTGAAGCTTCTTTTTCTACTGTTTCTTTGGTATCCTTGTCTTTCAGCGAGGCTTCGGTAGCGCTGGTGGAACCAGTCAAATCGGTAGACTTAGCAGCATTTTCAGACTTTGATATTATATTTTCCGAGTCAATTTTATCATTGGAATCATTTGACTGGTCTGATTTTGCTGAATTGGCACCTTTCACATATTTCGTAGCATCATTTTTTTTTATTTCGCCTTCATTCAGTAACTTATCTTCATTACCTTCTAAGTCCACGTTGATACCCTTAGATTTGACCTTTACTGTTTCTTCGCCAACTGGATATTTAGAGTCAATGCTTGATTCAATCTTTTCAATTCCAACAGTATTGACACTCTGTACATTATTATTCTTAGTCTCCTTCTTATCATCAGCCTTAGAATTATCACTGGTTTCATCAGCTTTATCTTTAGCGTGGATATCTTGAGCGGTAAGCGACTCGGCTTGTTCAACAATATCATTTTTTGAATCGATTCTTGATTCAATTTGATCAATCGCAGCATTATCAAGATTATCTTCGTCACTTTTAACGTCAACCTTATTTTCTCTATCTTCAGTAATAATTGAATCTGCAAGTTTGGTGTTGGCCTCCGATGAATCACCATGTATGTCATCTGAGTGAAGAGATTGCGCTTTGTCAAGAATTGGGTCTTTGGATTCTAAACTTGATTCAATTTGCTCAACCGCTTTGAGATCAACATCATCAGCTCCTTCTTTATCACTCTTTTCCGTTTGGTTATCATTTTTGCCAGCTTTTGATTTTCCCTTCGTAGTTGAAGACAATTCATTTGTAGCTTCACCTTTATTCTTTATATCTTCGGTATCTTTTATTAAAGCATCCAAAGGTTTGGAAGTAGGTTTAGACTCCTCCTCGCTAGTCAGCGGCTTCTCTTTGTCATCATTGTTTTTGGTTCCACTCTGTTTAATAGCTGATTTGTCTTTAAGCTCCGGTTCATTCTTGCTCACTTCAGGGTTTTCAGCACTAGGGTGTAGCACCTCCTCTACCATAGTATCTAATCCTCCTATCGTAGAATATGGATCTTCATTAATCAAAGCACCCCCTTTGAACAACTCCTCAGGATCAGCATCATTCTTTTCATTATATAAATTCGAGGCCCTTAAATCCTTATCAGGTTGTCTAGACCTTGATCTCGAAATAGATCTCAAGTAATTCGTTGATGAAGCAGATCTCATAGAATATAAATTAGACGAATCTTGAACTTGCGGTTCCGGCTTGTCAACATCGAAATTAGTATAATCTCCTGTAGTAACCAATGACGCATCTCTCTGCATATTGACGGCAGCACCAGCCAGTGACTTGCTAAGTAATTCCTTAGAGGCTTCGGCTGCAGCGATAGATTCACCCATAGTTGGTTTAGATTGTCTTGATCTCCTATCTTGTGTTTCATCTTCCTCTTCATCTTCACTTTTTATTTCAGATGCTGCCAAGTCCGGAGGCAACTCATATGAAGAAGGGTCTTTCATATTTGTATTCTTATATGAATCACCTCTAGCTAAATGTGGAGCAACAGCCGACCTAGATCTTGATCTATCCTGGCGACTCGCACCAGACCTAGACTGAGATCTTGAATCCCTTTGGAAATACGGTGTATGCAACCCATCTGTTGCACCAGCAGCGATAGTCACATCATCGTTAAACCGATTTACCGCTGAAGTGGGAGTTCTTTTAGATGGAGAAACTGGTCTCTTGAAATATGAATCATCATCCTTGTGAACGTAATCTGATTGCGAACTTGGTAAACGGTGTGGGTCATAAGATTGAATATTAGTCAATAAATCCTTATGTTCACTGATTTGATGGTCTAATTGATATTCGGACAAGTTTGGGGTTGAATAGTCTTCCTGGCTGTAGAAAGAAACTCCTGATTTTTTCTCCGGTCCAGGTGTAACCTTAGAAGAAGAACCTTCAGACACTTGTTCCTCGTTCTGTTCTTTTGATTTGGTTTCCTTGTCTACTTTATCAATAGAAGCAATATTTTTGTCGTTAGTCGAAGCTGTGTTCTCATCACCGTTTTCTGTCTTTTCATCCACAGATTTTCCAGATGTATCGTCTCTACCTGCAGAAACATCACCAGATTCACCGTCATCGTTTGCTTGTGCTGCAAGCGTACTGAGATGTGATTTTTTCGTTGCCTGGTCATCTTCCCCAGCATATTTAGCATCCTCTTTGATATTTCCTGAGTCGTCTAAAACCTCCTCAAAGTCTTCCTCTGAACCTAATAATGCTCCTTCTCTCATCAAATCGTCCAACGAAGCAGCAATTGATTGATTCGATATACCGTGTCCCTGTGATTTTTCTTTCTTTCTCCCCTTGGATTTTTCTGGATGAATATAATTATTATGTGCCGAATCATCTGCTGATCTGATAGATGATCCCACCAATGAAGGTGTAGGGAGTCTTTCAGCCTTTTCCAATTGCTCTTCAAAATCCATTGTGTATACTCTAATATCTAAATGCTTGTTCTAAGTATATGTCATAGAAATATCAATTATTGTTATCGTAACTTGAGTGAGCGCCTAATAAATGCGTCGACCCTCACCAATTGTCTACACTATCTCGACTGCTATTATTTTTTTCCACCTGAAACTCCTACGCTCGTCTCTAACTACATTCTATGATAAGCCCCTACAATGACGTCTGGCATATACCATCTTCCTACTCAACAGTTCTAATATTAGTCAATGCAATCGGACCTATTATCATTGGTTGTGATTATGTAAGCGAGATGAATGGTTATCTATGATTTACGTATTCTGTTGGCACTACATGTTCCGGAGGTACGGAGCTATCTGCGGTGTCTGAGGTATTCTTAAGTCACAGGTATCAAAGAGTCTCATTTATTTTTTGGTACATTGGGATGCGCAATTGTACGCTATGGGAAAAGTGACCAGTCTGGCAAAAGTGTATCTTTTACCACAAGTAAGAAATAAGGGATGATATGCCAAGGTGTTAGGTGCAAATGCCTTTTGTTAGTGGCAATATAGAGCTATCTGAAGTCGTTTGATTATCAAGACTTCCAAATGTGCAAAACTGACTGTTCTGAAACGTCGCAGCGTAGTCTAGTTCTTCATAACACCGTGTGGACTTAAATCGTGTATGAAAAATTCTTCCCCTCCGTCTAGTGCCCTTTCGAGGCTCCCTCTCCCCATAGTCATATTCCCGTAGAGTCTACTTTTGCACTGTAGACACACCTGGTGTCTCGTACACTACTACCAGTTATTTTGTAACATCTATTGGACCACAAAGTGCCCGAATGACGCCTGGCCCTCTCTCAGCTCTCCGGGTGTCCGCAGAGCCTTCGGAAAGTGTCAATACTCCATCATATGCCCCAACTTCCATTCTATACCCTATGCATCATCTACACATCTTTTGCCACTATATGGCCGAGATCGATTTTGGGTGCAAATGAATTCCCGAGTATGCGTTTGCGATGCCACATGTAATCACCTAAGATTCCCTCAATAGAGTGCGAATGGCATCGCTGGTCTTCTTCACCATTCATTCGGAAAACATCCCCCTTAGTGGTCTATATATGCTCCTAATAACTTATGTGACTTTATTCGGCGGTTGTAGTCAGTTGTAGCCAGACAGTCTCGTTAAATAAATAATTTGTCTTCCAGTCTGGTGCCATATGCGCAAATGGTCCACTAGAACACACAGTCTCCATGTCCTTCAAATTGTAGTTTTTCAGCGTCAAGAGCACTCCAGTCTCATTAGACTGTCTCTATGTCCCTTACCGAAGCTTCTGGCAGTCTCGGAAACCTTCAGTGACCGTCCGGAACATTATTGGCATTTGTAAGGATCACATCATTGTATACACACCAATTTATTTCTTTTCTGTTTACAATTTTTTCCAGAAAATGAGTAGTAACAGTTGTGGTTGTCTGTGTTAGAAAATCTACTATAGTTGAATAGACATCTATACCCTTAAAATATACATAATACTATTAGTATATAGTATTTGAATACACTATTAAAGGTTTCCAACATATTTAGGATACCAAATATAGGAAAAATTACGAATATTTGTGAATAAACATTGATTAGTTATCACAAGTCCCCCTCCAAAATTTGTTTGCGTTAATAATCAACAACCAAGTAATAAATACAGCGGTATAGAGTTGGAATAATAGCGAAGAAAGTTAATATGAGTTCCAAATCAGCAGCAGCTATCTTACAACGACAATTTAAGGATTTAACGGACCCCAAAAAGGGGATTCCTTCGTTCCACATCGAGTTGGACGACGATAATATTTTTTTATGGAATATTGGAATAATGGTATTAAATAAGGAATCGATGTACCATGGGGGATATTTCAAAGGACAGATGAGGTTTCCTTCCGAGTTTCCATTTTCTCCCCCAACATTCCGCTTCACGCCTGCCATATACCACCCCAATGTTTATAGAGATGGAAGGTTGTGTATCTCGATTTTGCACCAAGGGGGAGACCCTACATCGGACGAACCTGATAGCGAGACGTGGACACCAGCACAGACTGTTGAGTCTGTGTTAATTTCGATCATTTCGTTGTTAGAAGACCCCAACGTTTCATCTCCTGCTAATATCGATGCATCGGTCGAATTACGAAAGAACCCCGACGCCTACAAGAAAAAGGTAATGCAGGAGGTTGAGAGATCCAAGGCTGATATCCCTGAGGATTATATCATGCCAGAACTGGAATTATTTGCATACGGAAACGGCAGCTCGCACAATAAGGATTTAGAACAGGAGCCAGTTGATGAAGACTTCTGGTACGACAGCGATGAGGAGAGCTTTGATGAAGAAAGCTTTGATGAGGAAAGCTTGATGGATGATATGGAGGATAATGACGAGGATGATGATGAAGAAGAGGAAGAGGACGATATGGATGTGGTTGGGAAGTAACCACTCGATTCTCCTATATTCATTTGCATTTATGACTTCTCATAATTTCCTATATATCACTGCTAACTTTTCTTATGTGCATAATTTATGTCCATGTCTTAGACATTACTGTTTTGTAATGAGCTAAAAGAGGTATTTTTTGTATCATTAAATGACCTTTAATGCAACCTTAATAATTCTTATCTATAATAACCCAGCAACTAATTATTTGTTTATGATGTCAGAGTTGTTTAGTTTATATATAGCATTCAATAATATCCATGTATAAATTTGATTGTAAGTTTCATTTAAACTAATTAATTTACTAATACTATACTAGACAACTTCAATATTGCCTTCACGTTCGATGCTAGTGTCTAAAATCTCTAGCAATTGGTATTCATTGCATTATCGTATCAACTACCTATATTTATACAAACACATTCTTATAATACAACCCAATTCAGCATTACAGCATTAAAATCAGCTTCTTTTTCCGGATTCTCTTGTTATCTATGTATGTTACGGCTTTCAATTATAACCTTTAAGTCCTTCAGCTAGTGCATTACACACATTATCGATCTTCAACTTTGCTATGGCGTGTGGAAATTCGCTCTTGTAGAATATAACTACATACAAGCTATTTTCGCTGTTTTCCGGTATTCCTTTTTGTTCGTTCCCTTCATTACTACCCCCATTGGTAATGCTTTCGGCATATTCCACCTTTTGTATAATCAAATGCAAGTCTTTATCGATGGCCATCCCCGCCCAATTTGATTCCTCTTTCAACTTTTTGTTAGCAGTCTCCTCCTCTTCCTCTTCTAAGGTACCAGGTTCTTTAAAATGGCTCATCGCTAGCAACGAATATATTTTCAAGTTGTCAACTGTCAAGCTTCCGTCTCCCACTGAATGACTGGATACTGTAGTTAAAGGCAATCCTGAATGTGATAATAATGATAACGATAACGGCTCACTAACACCATTTGTAGATAATTCTTTTGGAATTGGCTTTAATCCCTGTGATAGCACTTTGGATATTTGTTTCGTCTGAAGCATCTTAATGTATATTTGGATAGTATAGTTATGGTTAATAGTCCCTAGTATTATCAATAATATCCAATTGAGAATTGCACGAATTATCAAAATTTTGTACGCGTTCCTAGCGGGAAGAAATCGTAGAATGGTAACATCAAATCGTAACAAATAAAGAAGGATTATTACACCAGGAGTATTGAAAAGTTATATTAGATACTTTACAATACGTTTTCACTTTATTGGGATTGTTTAATAATTCGTGTTAATCTAGTATAAATTTTTTTTATCGAGTGCTTCTTTTAGTCGTTGTTATTAAATTGACACTGTATTGAAAATCTTGAAGTACCCAATTCTTTTGCAAGATTATAATGGTAAGTTTGATTGAAACTATAACTAATGGATTCTACTAATTATAATAATAATAATTCCAACATCAATTGCCAACCCAGTAAGAAAAGACCGCCTACAAACATGAATTCATTAGCCGCTACAACCCTAGATCAACAAAGACAACCATTAAAAGAAACAAGCGGCAATATTCCATCGCCGGTGCTCAAAAAGGCTAAGCTTAACAAAGGTCTTAGTGTTTCTGGGAATAGCATACTTCAAAATAAACCAAATTTATCCCGACCCTTAAACACACATCTCGCCCATTCAAACACGCATAACCAAGCGCAAAGTGCTGAATCTCAAAGTCAAAGCAAGGCAAATAGATTAGAGGGAGAAGCATTTCAACAATGGCAGAGATCGTGGAGGAAAATCATGAAGGAGAGTGTTGTTTACTTCGACACCCAAGGATATGATACAAACAATACCAGTCATCAAAACGAGTTGAAAAAAGCACAGAGAGCATTGAAACACGTAGGTTGTACACTAGTACCCTTTTATGATAGAGAAGTGACCATTATTGTTAGCAGGAGACCATTTGATGCTAACAAGGAGTACTCAACGAGTGACATATTTCACGATGCATGTAGTCTCAAGATCAAAGTTTGGGATTATGAGAAAGTTTTCCGCTTCTTAAAGAATTTAGGAGTTAACGAGTCGAGCTATAAATATGATGATAGCTCAAAATTTAATAAAAATGGTGACTTATATAACTTGTTAAAAGAAGAAAAAATATTTGGTGCCAATGACCGGGACCCAAATGCTAGAAGAGATGACTTGCATTACTTAGAAAAGAACTATTTGTATGCTTACGATTTGGCGCAGAATTTTAGACCAATAGCTGTGAGGGAATGGCACGATTCACCATATCCAAAGATGTCAAATACGCTCGATGGTAAATGTCCATTTATACCTGACTCATCTGAAAACCTGGAAAGAAGACAGCTTCGTAGATTACAAAAGCTTGAGGCTTCGAAAAATTATAGAGAATTACTTAAGAAGGCAACTGTTGAAATTATAAATAACGTGAAAGATGGCATACACTATGATTCATCTGAATGCAGTGGTGAAGACCTAGCAACAGATTGTGACAACAATGAAGTATGTAATGAAAATGAGCGGGAGGATGAATCAACGATAATTCAATCTTCAACTAGTTCATCCAAGCGAGCATCATCCGAAGAAGAATTGAGAAAACCTTCGAAAGCAACTAAACTTGATTTTAAGGCTCCTCCTGCCCGTCTTGCAAGGGAATCGTCATGTGTCCAACCATTGAATAATTCGAATTCAAAGTTCTTTGAAGTTGCGGCATCCGGGTACAATGGGGCGTCGAATTCTGCTCAAATGTCTATGGACTCAGCTTTGAATAGTGCTGCTGTTCAAGGTAATGGATTAGGTCCTACTGTCTCTCAAGTTCCTTCGAGAAATATTAATAATCTAAAGAGACGTATTTTCATGAAAAAGCAAAGGCAGCATAGCATACCAGAAGATAAGGAAAAAGACTTAAAACCTGGTTACTGTGAAAATTGTCGTGTCAAGTATAACTATTTTGAAGACCATATTAATTCAAATAGACATCGTAATTTTGCTTGCGATGATCGTCATTTCAAAGATATTGATAAATTAATTGCAACTTTAATTGAAAGCAAATCATTTGGTTATGTTACTTCTAACGGTGATTATAAATATGCCAATTAGAACTGGGAGTATTCACTGAGTCTTTTCTTTCGGCTTAATTGCTATATTGTTATTCTTCTTACTCGTCATTATATTTAGAGTATTTGCATATATAACTTTTGAATAGGTCTACAATATCTCTATTCTGTATATTACAATTTAATTGCATGAATCTATAGTTTATCTCAAATCAAGTAAATTTTGTTCGCTGCGAATTTTTGATAAATTTTGTTCCAAAATATATAACGACATCAAAATTTATCATCTAGTAAATCCAAAACATAGACACAATGTTACAAACCTCGAGGATATGCTTTAATAACAGGCTATCTCATTCATGTATGCGCTTGAATCATATTCCTAAAAGGACGTATGCTGATTTCCTTAAAGATTTACCAAGGGTTGGTGGTGCAGTTTCAAAACTTTCGAAGAAAACTCAAAAGCCTAATGGACCTACAAAGAAGAATGCAGAGGCAAATTCAAAACCAAATCTAAGTCCCAGCATACCCAAGGGAAACAGATTTGCTCAGCAATATTCACAACCGAAGAAAAGGAATGATTTTAATAACAGACCGAAAATTCAGAACCGCTTTACAAAGGAAGAAAAGGTTGAACTTGATAGAACTCAACAATACAATATGGCCAAAAAAGCATTGAAAGATAAGGAAAATAACCAAACTCAGAAAAAGCAGCTGGCAGTAAAAACTCCTAGCCCAAAATTTCAACAACAGAAACATATTAAAAAAGCAGATAATAAAGTTGAAAATATTAGGATCCTGGTCCCAACATTTATTACAGTTTCTAATCTTTCCACTATCATGGGTGTTCCTTTGAGTGATCTTTTGAAGAAGTTGGAGATTCTAGGTTTTGAGGGAATGACACATAACTATATTTTAGATAAGGAAAATGCCTCGTTGATTGCGGATGAGTATGGATTTGAAGTTACTATGAATGACGATACCGGTGCTGATTTATTCCCATCCCCAGAATGCGAGGATGATAGTAAACTTAAACCAAGAGCTCCAGTTGTCACCATTATGGGACATGTGGATCATGGAAAAACTACAATTTTGGATTACTTAAGAAAATCATCAGTGGTTGCCCAAGAGCATGGTGGGATTACTCAACATATTGGTGCTTTCTCAGTGATAACTCCTATTTCTAAACAAAAGATTACCTTTTTAGATACACCAGGGCATGCGGCATTTTTAAAAATGAGAGAAAGGGGTGCAATCATCACTGATATTGTTATTTTAGTAGTTGCTGCTGACGATTCAGTTATGCCTCAAACAATCGAGGCAATCAAGCATGCTAAAAAGTCTGGTGTCCCGATGATCGTTGCTGTTAATAAATGTGATAAACCAGGAGTTAATACTGACAGAGTCTTAGCAGATTTATCCAAGCATGGAATTGATGTGGAAGACTATGGTGGAGATACACAGACAGTTCTAGTTTCTGGTAAAACAGGATTGAATATGGATAAATTGGAAGAAGCTGTTATTACATTACGTGAGATGAGTGACTTTAGATCTGAAATTAGTAATATACCTTCAGAAGGTTGGGTTATTGAATCTGAGATAGCAAAGGGTATGGGAAATATTTCTACTGTCTTAGTTCGTAGGGGCACTGTCAAAGTTGGTAGTTATTTAGTTGCAGGTAACACTTACTGTAAAGTAAGAGGTATGAAAGATGAAAATGGAAAGACGGTTAAAAGTGCAGGTCCTTCCACCCCTGTTCAAATATGGGGTTGGAAAGATTTGCCCCAATCTGGTGACCAAATATTGGAAGCCAAGAATGAACAAATAGCCAAAAAAGTTTGCGAGAACAGAATAAACCGTGAGAAACAAATTAAGGCTGCTGGAGATATTGAATCAATTAACAAGAAAAGACAATCGGAAATCAAAGAATTAGAAAGACAAGAGAAAATCAATGAATTGAAATTGGCTGGTTTTGATGAAGAAACCCTAAAAAGTGAATTTGAATCTGATCCTGAGTGTATTAAAGTCAAATATATCATTAAATCTGATGTTTTTGGTTCAGCCGAGGCTATTAAAGGAAGCATAGATGGCTTAGGTAATGAAGAAGTCAAATCTGTAGTTGTTTTACATGAAGCAGGAATGCCGTCTGATTCAGATGTTGAAAGAGCCAAAGCACTTAATGCAAAAATATTGTGCTTCAACGTGAAAATTCCTAAAGCAACTCAAGCAAAAGCTGACAAGAATGTTGTTGATATAAAGGAATATAATATAATTTACCGTTTGATTGAAGATGTCACAAATGAATTAACGTCTCATTTGAAACCTCATATTGAAACGAAAATATTAGGTGAGGTCGAGATCAAAGACGTATTTTCCATCACTTCCAAAACGAAGCTGAAGTTCAAAATTGCAGGTTGTAAAGTCACCAATGGTAATATTAAAAGATCATCCAAGATAAAGGTTCTTAGAGGAAAGAATGAAATATTTAACGGCTCTCTCTCATCCCTAAAGCATGTTAAGGATGATATTTCTGATGCTAAAAAGGGTAATGAATGCGGTATTTCATTTGATAATTGGGATAAATTCCAGGCTGGAGATATTATCCAAGTTTACGAAGAAATCGTACACCCAAGATATTTGTAAATAGTATAGACAATTGTATATAGGCAGAATCAATGTGCTAGTAAGTATATATTGTGCACGTGATGCGCTTTACTACTATTTTTTTTCGAATGATCTTGAAGATGTCTAGTAAGGACTATTGAAGCCATTATAGAGCTACTAGTTGTATATACAAGATGTCTTCACACGATGAGTATTCTTCAGATGAAGAAGATATAATTGACGAAAAGCAGATATCACAAGTGTACTTAGGATTCGTAGATGCTCCCATATTATCAGGGGAAGAAGAGAACGATGAGCCTACAATAGAAGATACATTCATTGGAGGTAACCCAGTATGGTTGCATCCAAATTCGCAACCAACGGACTCACAAATCAAATGTGATAGTTGTGGTGGTAAAATGGCATTGTTATCGCAGATATTTGCACCCTTTGAGGGTAAATCATACGATAGAGTCCTCTACATATTTGGCTGTCCAAAAACCTCTCAATGTTCCAACAAAAAGGGCTCAGTTAAATGCTTAAGAGGAATTTCTAAGGACCCTGTCAAAATGGCCCAAATTGAAGAAGAAACTGCAGAAGCTGCCAGAAAGGAATTAGATGAAAAGTTGCGTTTGGATAATACCAAAAAGTTACAAATCGAACTCACGAAGGATTTATTCAGCAACTCGGGTAAAGATACCGAAGAAAAGTCCGATAATCCGTTCGTGTCGTCTGCCAATCCATTTGGAGCTGCTTCCAATCCATTTGATGCTACAAGCAATCCATTCAACCAATCTAAGAATAATGACACTGACAACACCAAGTCGCATCCAAACAGTCTCAACAAGGAGTCATTTGCTGAAGCCGCAGCCAAAAATTTACCGAAATCACTGCCCAAAAAGGCGCTGTCAGCTGTAGGCCAGTTACCCTCATATCCGGGATATTTTGTGTATGTAGAGCAAGAAAAATTCAAAAAAATCACCATCGAACCTGAATTGGAAAAATACAAGCATTTGGTTGATCTCGATGATGAAACTGAGTCCGCATCTCGCGCCGACAAAAAGCAATCGTCCTCGTCATCACACATGAACCCCCAAACAGCAAAAATTTCCAACATGCTCGACGACAAATACTTCGAAGCATTCACAAACACCGTGAAACACAACAACTCCCAAGTTCTCCGTTACGATCTTGGTGGAAAGCCATTGCTCTACTCGGGGCAGGACGATATTGCAGCAAAATTTAACGGTCGCGACACTAACTTTAACATTCCTAACCCAGGCTACAACCCATCCTCTACCCGCCAATTTGAATGTCAACTCATGCCCAAAGCTATCTTGGATTTGGAGAACGAAAACAACAAGACTGCATCACTCACTGATATATTAAATGGTATGTCTTGGGGAACTATCATTGTGTGTACCGATGTTGAAGACTACATGCCTGCAGATGCGTTTGATGAAAATAATGTTGCATACATAGAAGAATGGTGCGGTGTTCAATGGGAAGAAAGTGTATAGTATATTTCATGTACGTAGTATATTTTAACGAGTATATGTAGGATTCTCGATCAAGAGACGTGAACCGGTTCTTTCTTGCGCTGTTGGACGCGAATCAGATGGTTTATTAATAGCTAACAGTAAAGAAAATCGTTGAAGGTGCAACTATCCTGTATACAATCCAGATGGCCCTCCTTTGGCATTTCTTTATATAACCAAGATTTCAAAACTAGACCCAGATAAAAGAACAAGGTGTGCAAAATATTTCTTTAAATTATAATTTATAAGGATTACAAGCTAAAAAGGAAGACTGTGAAAGAACATGTCTAATAACTTCGCTCGTAATGACATTTCTTCAAGTTCTGATGATGAAGCAGACAATTATAGATCCCAAATCCAGATTCCGAGACTAGATCTAGCAAATTATAGGAAGCAGCAAAAATCTACTTCCAAGACGAACCTTGCCAAAGCGGGTAAAAGACTTAAGCACAAGTCAGTTAGATTCCCCGATCTGTATTCTCCTAGAGATACTATTATAAGCAATACATCTACCACTACAAATAATTCTTCGTCAGATTCTGAGCTAGAGCCTGATATGGCTGGTGGTGAGAATTCGAATTTGCCAAATTTCAATTTTAGTGCAGACAGGATACACTCGCCAGATTATGCGAATGAAGATGAGCCAAACGACTACAGTGACGAAGAAGAGGATACATTTGAGCCTCCGGCTGAGTTTTATGCTTCGGAGGGATCGGACGATGACATGGAAGCTAATGACAAAACTGATAAGGAAGAGGTGGTAAATGAAAAGGAAGAAATATTCGATGATTCGCATTCTAGGAACTCTAGAACATCTAAGGAGTCTAAAACAACAACTTCTGGAGCTAGGAATTCTAGAAAGTCAATTACTTCGCTCCAGCGTAACGAAACTGATGTAACCGATCAGTTAAAAAGAACCACATCTACAACCTCGTCATCAAATACAGAAAAGCGTACTGGTTTGAAAGATATTTTACGTAAATTTGCTCTAGTAGATCAACAATATCCCGAAAATGCAGGCAATCGTGAAAGTGAGGACTTAGGGCAGCCATCTAGATCCGATACATTTTTGGGTAATGTGTTGTCTATGGCCGGTGAAAGTGGTGGATTGGTTCCAGGGGCCACACACTTCTCTAGGGAGAAGACAATAGATGAAGAGGAAGAAGTGGGCCTTGAAAATGAAGACTCAGATGTAATTGAAATGAAGAAGTTAGATTTTGCGCAATTAAGTAACGAAGCGCAAAACTTGATTTCTACGCATGTCCCTGACTTAGTTAATAAGTTGCCAGAAGGTACAAGTAGTGATCATCAACTTGACTCGGATACTTCTGCCTCGAACTTAATTAAAAAAGAAGAGGAGGAGGAAGTGAACGGTAAGAAGGATGATGATTTCTATGTTCCTAATCCTGACTATTTCATTCGTGGAGATATTAATAATGGCAATGATGGAGATGACTATTTAATGTTGGATGAGGATATGGACAATATTGCGCCTCCTAAACGGGTTCAGGCAGGTGTTCTTTCGTCCTTGTTAAAATTATATCAAAATCCTCAAGAACAACAATCTTCAACTTCGTTAACCTCGAAGAGTACTTATGGAGGTACAACTTTGGCCGAAGACCAAGATTACAGCTTAAACGAAACAAAAACTACCAGTACGTTAGATTTTACGAAGTTGAAAAATGATTTTAAATCTGGTCCAAGAAGAATGGCTAATAAAATTCCTGGTAGAAAGCATGGCGTTCATAAACAAGATACGCAAGACGAGTTTGCTGAGAAGTTTTACGATGAAGATGGTAATGAAATTGCACCACCAAATTTACCATCATTTCACAATGCAAAGCCTAAAGCTCCTAAAAAAATTGCATATGCTGGAAAAGTCCCATCCAAGGTTCACAAGAAACTTAAAGAGCATAAGAGACAACGAGACCAGCAGCTTCGTATCACTGTGCATATTGCCGATATTCTTCATAGACAAAGATTTATTATGAGAATGTGTAAAGCATTGATGATGTTTGGAGCTCCAACTCACAGATTAGAAGAATATATGACTCTAACGAGTAGAGTATTAGAGATTGATGGTCAATTCGTTTATTTTCCGGGCTGTATGATTGTATCATTTGGTGATGCATCGACTAGAACTTCTGAAGTTCACTTGGTCAGATGCGCTCAAGGTTTAAATTTATCAAAACTTTCTGATACACATAGAATTTATAAAGGTGTTATTCATGATATATTACCAGTTGATGAAGCCTCCACCCAACTTGAAGAATTATTGAAGAAAAAGAACAGATACTCACCATGGATATGTGTTTTCCTCTATGGATTGGGATCATCTATGGTTTGTCCTTTTGCTTTCGATGGTGGATGGTATGATGTCCCCATTGCTTTCGGTGTAGGATTGTGCGTGGGGTATTTGCAATTTTTTGTGTCTTCAAAATCTAACTTATACTCTTCAGTTTTCGAAGTCACTGCATCTATTGTTGTCACATTTATTGCAAGAGCGATTGGATCCATTCATAATGGTAATATCTTCTGTTTTTCTGCTATTGCACAAGGTTCACTAGCGTTGATTTTGCCTGGTTATATTATTTTGACTGGATCTTTAGAGTTGCAGTCTAGAAACATTGTCGCCGGTTCTGTCAGAATGTTCTATGCTATTATCTATTCGTTATTCTTGGGTTTTGGTATCACATTAGGAGCATCGTTATATGGTTGGGTTGACAGTAATGCAGTCTCAACTGCAAAATGTAAAAACTCAATCAAACAAGATGAATTCAAAATTCTCTTTGTTCCAATGTTTTCAGCATGTTTAGGTTTGATTAATCAAGCAAGATGGAGACAATTGCCAATTATGATTGCTATTGCATGCGCTGGTTATGTAGGTACATTTTTTGCCGGTAAACATAAGCAATTTACTGAAGTCACTGAATTCACTGCTTGTATCGGCGCATTTATCGTTGGTATTTTGGGTAATTTGTACTCAAGAATTGGTAAAGGTATGGCAGTGGCTGCCATGTTGCCAGCTATTTTTGTCCAAGTTCCATCTGGTATAGCATCTAAAAGTTCTCTCTTGGCTGGTGTTGAATCAGCTGACAAGATTACAAGTAGTAATTCTACTTCTAGCGACACTACTACAGATTCGGATTCGGCGGGCTCATTAGCTTTTGGTGCCACTATGGTTAAGGTTTCAATTGGTATTAGTGTGGGATTATTTGCTTCTGCTTTGTTCGTGTACCCATTTGGTAAGAAAAAAACTGGTCTTTTTTCTTTGTAGAAAAGTACAAACAGCCATTATTTTTATATTTTATTACATATATAATACAAGTTCAATATTTAAACTATTATGAAGTTCTAATAATTAATTTCCCTCAGCTCCTATTGATAAAATTATATTATCATCTTGTCGAAATAAATTGTAAGCATATAGTCTTTGAAATCGTGAGTCTGTCAGAATCGGATATTATCTGGCACTCTGGCCGAGTTGGTCTAAGGCGCCAGGGTAAGGTCCTGGTCTCTCCGGAGGCGCGAGTTCGAATCTCGCGGGTGTCACCAGTCGATTCTATTTTTTTTTTTCAATCCCGGATTGCCCCGCAATATTTTCCCACGGTTCTCGTATATCAAACTTACAATTCCAATTGGCCTTTAAAGAATATATTAATTATCTACAATGGTTTTGGTCACCTCAGGCCGAGTGTTAAAGGCTTCATTCAACATATCACCTCAACTACTAAGGTTTTCGTCCAGCTTGAGTTTAGGAAATTACAATGACAATTATATTTCGGTAACTTTCGACAATAATCACACAGTTAAGTTCAATAATGTATTTCTTAGAGATTCATGTACTTCCATTATCTCAAGAGATCCATTTTCAAAGCAAAAGCTGTTTTCGACGAGCGATGTCAGCTACGGCTTAACATTAAATGGTCCGCCAAAAATACTTAGTAGCCCAGATCATGAAGATTGCTTGGAAGTTACGTGGAGTCAAAACGGGACGCTACATAAGTCAAACTATTCCAGTACATTCCTAGAAGATTATTCTTCTAATTCCTCGATCAGAAAAGGAAAATACTTCAATAATTCGAAGATTATTTGGAATAATGATCGTATTATGAAGAATATTTCTGATTTGCAAGTGAACTACATCGACTATGTTGAAAACAATCTGTTATTTGTCAAGACTTTAAATAACTTGAATGAATTTGGCCTCTCTTTCATCAACGAGATCCCAACCCCTCTTGAAAACCCTAAAACGCAAGTTATGAACGAAGATAATGCATTAGAATGGCCTGTAGCTGCTTTAGCATCCAAGTTCGGCTACATAAAAAAGACTTTTTATGGAACTTTATTTGATGTAAGAAATGAGAAAGAAGCCAAGAACATTGCAAATACGAATACATTCTTGCCTTTGCATATGGATTTGTTGTATTATGAATCACCTCCTGGATTACAGTTATTACATTTTATACAGAATTCCACTCTGGGTGGAGAGAACATATTTTCTGATTCGTTTGCAGCTGCGTTGCACGTCAGAAATGTAGATCCTCAGGCGTATGCATCATTGACTAAAATCCCAATCACGTATCATTATGACAATAATGATAAATATTACTATTATTCTCGACCTTTGATTATTGAAGAGAATTTCAAATCAGATGCAAACGTGCCTGTCATTAAAGAAGTAAATTATTCTCCACCATTTCAGGGTCCATTCGAAGTCGGTATTTTTGAAGATAATTCTTCAGATAATAAATTATTTAAGGATTTTTTGAGAGGTTTCAAATTATTTACAGATTTCGTAAATGACCCAATTAATCAATACGAATTAAAAATGAAAGAAGGGTCCTGTGCTATATTCGATAATAGAAGAGTATTGCACTCGCGTAAAGAATTCTCCGATGAAAACGGGGGAGATAGGTGGTTAATGGGATGCTACGTAGATGGAGATAGCTTTAGATCAAAACTAAGAATCGGCAATAGATCATTAGAAAAATAATTTCAATACATTACTTAATTTTCTTGACTAATGTTTTAGTGCTTATATTCAATAGAACCAATATTACTACAATTAATTTAAATTAAAATACAAGAGATGATAAACAATTTTTTAATGTTTTGTAAGAAAAGCCTGATAGTTATTCAATAACCATATCCACCGTATGTACTTGCTTGAGCTTGATTGTTTATTGGAGCAGGTTTAGCCGTTCTTGATCTATCCGCAAATCCCTTAACATAACTCTTGAAGGTTTGTTTGAAACCATTACATAAACGAAGCATACTTGGATATGAGAATCCCTTTAATCTGTAACCATCACTTTCTGTTTTAACATGCCATGTAGTTATTGGTGTGTTAACATTGACCTTGAATAATAATAAAAACCAACCAGGTGCTTTGTGATCAAAGCAAAACACGTACGCACTATTCTTTGGATTAGCTTTAGTGTAGGATTCTAACCATTCGTTGACCTCAGACATAGTACCCTCGCGGAATTTTGGATGACGGCACATTTCATCTACATGTTTGGCAATAGCTTGAACATGTTGAAAGATCAATTGATCCAAGTCAGCATATCTCTTATGTTCAACAATATATTCCTTGCCCATACCTTGAGTATTTTCTTGTATACTAAGATGTTGAAATAAATTGTTAGCCACTTTCCAAGTGACGGTTAAGAAGTTTGGTCCCTTCGAGGATGGACGAAGCACACAATCTCCAACTGCTTGAGGTGCTAAAAATTCTTCAGCTTGTTTGTAGCTAAAATTATGAAACAATGGATGTTGAATGTTTCTTGTTTTGGCAAGTTGTGCTCTTTCCTTTGCCATTTCTTTTTGCTTGTCTGCTTGTTCTGCTTCAAAATCCCATTTGAGGGGATCTTTATGGAATTTAGGAGCAGCTCCCTTTTGAATATCTGCCTCAAGTAAACTGAACGATGCGGTGAAAGAATCGTAATAAGCGTCCAAAACAACAGCCTGTACTACCTGTCCTTGAACAAGATCAATACCTTGAGGAATACTAGCTTCTTCAATATTACCCAGGATGAGCGAAGAGGTTGTAACTTTGGCAAACTTAATTTTCGAATTTTCAAAATCTCTGAAGTTTTGTCCAACTTTATTAATTGTCACGGGTACAATTGTATTTCTGGCAAAAGATTCAGTTGTTTCACCTGTCAACATATGGAAAACTTCATGGTTTTCTAATATATGGAAAGACCTTCTAATTTCTTCGAAATTATTAACAAGTTCTTCCTTGATACTTTGTAAAGTAGCATATTTCTTTTTACCAAATTTGCTTTCAAGCTCTTTACCATATGCAGTTAAGTTTAAATCATCAACCTTACTTACTCCATCTTGCATCAATTGATAAATAATACCACCCTGTTCTTCAACATGAGCCATATCTTCTTCGTCTAAATCAAGAGCATCAGCTGCCATCTTACGAGCTAAATCATAATCTTCCGGATGGATTCTTGTCGCATCCAATAATTCTACTGATGAATCTCTCATAGATAAACCTTCATCGTAAGGAATATTTAAAAATGATGAACAGTTAATAAAGATGTTAGCAGTCGAAAGTTCGTTTTCGATTAAATCACTTCTGTTAGCCAATGTAGACCCTAATTTAGAATTGATGTTTCTCAATAATCCAGAAGCTTTACGGGGTCCCAATCCTGCAACGTAGGGTAAGAGTTGAGCAATATATGGATCACGAATTGCTTCGTTAATTTCAACACCAACCATATTAACTATATCCACATAGGCTGATTCTATTGCCTCCATAATTAAATCTGTTGGAATCAACTTTTGATATTCATAAAATGTCAATGATAAAATACCTTCACCTAATGAAAGATATTCTAATAACGGACTTTGAACGTAACGTGCTAACCCTACACAATATTTAGCCAATGTTGGCTTATCGGAAAACTCAATTCTTGCCCTTTCGGAATTCTGGAATAAAGTTGCAGTTTCTGACTGTCCCCAAATCACTTGTATCAATGGTGGATTTTGGACATCAGTTAATTCTTCGGTAGTAGCAGTAATATTATTGGTTTCAACAAAAGACTTTACAGAATCAAAAAGCTTCTTTGAGAGAGCGTTATAGCCAGAAACAACAATGACATCTGGCTTTTGACTAATAAGGCTTTTGTCGAAAAATTCTTTCAATTGGCCGTTGAATTTTTCTTCACTTTCACGATCCCTGATAGGGTTGTTCTCAGATTTGAAAAATTCATCAACTTTACCACTTTCTCTCAAAAATGCACCAATAACAGCACTGTCAAAGTCACCTTTTCCGAACGATAATGCTAATACATTTGGCTTTGTGCCTTTGTCAAACCCAAATGGAGTAAATGGAGCTTGATCAATTCTGGCTAAGAACCTACGACGGACTTCGCTTGCAATTAAACGCTCACATTCACGACGTAAATCTTCCTTCGTATTCATAGAAACCATAGAGGTCAATCTCTTGAAGGCCATGTTCAATACAAGTTCTCTTTCTTTATTCCATTTCTCAAAAATCTCAGAAGATCCATCTGATTTCAAACAATTGAAAATGCACTGGAACCAACTGTCGTAATCTTTTGTTTCAACCTTCACAACTACCAAACCAGCAGCCTCTGCTTCAAGCATTCTAAGTAAGACATCAGGATTACGTACTAAATCAGCAGGAGATCTGTTGATGGCATACTTTATATCCGCATAAGGACTGTGGTTATCTATAGATTTACCTTTCTCAGTGATCGCTACTCTTATGGAAGCAAAATCTTTATATGTAGATCTTACTTCATGTCTAATTTTAGGATTGTGGAAAATTTCTTCTGCGAAAGTCTTTCTGACTGCGCTAAGAGCGTTCTTTGGGTCCTTAAACAAAACCTCATCATCTTCACAAAGTCTTTCAATTAAATCTTCAGGGGACTCAATATGATCATCAGTAGCATGAATTCTATAAGGAACCTCAAACTTTTTAGAACTTTGATCTTGAACGTTCTCACCAAATTCTTTTGCCGTTATACCAAAAGCTTTGACTGCATCATATAATACATTTGATTTTATTCTTTCAAAAACAGCATATTTAGAATGTTTCTTGGTTATATTATTATCAATTCCTTCGGTTTCTTTGTCATCGTATAATTTCCGTATTTCGGTAGAATAAGTGAAATTAATATAGTCCTGTAAATCTTGAATTGCAACCATAGTTTCTAATGATTTCACGTCTTTAACTAAATCATCATCTAAATTCAAAGATTCGATTAATTTTTCTATGTTCACTCTTTTCTCGAAAAGTGAGTGATATTCGATATCTAATTGGAAAATACGCCATAAGTCATCTTCAAATAATAATTTATGAACTGAATTAGTGACACTTCCATCCTCATTTTTTATTTCTTCTGAATATAATAAGAAATCACGACGATGAGTCCATATAAACGGAACTTCATAGACATCCTTAGAAATGAATTCAACAACCTTAGAAACGGCTTCTTTAAATGGTTCTTCCAAGAATCCACTAAATGAGCCTTGCTTCTCCATGAACAATATATTGGCCACCCAATCTTGTTCACTCTTTAATTCTTCTCCTTCCAAATCAATATAGTTTAAATTAGAACGATACTTTTGGAATCTTTCAGGGACATCAACAATACGAATTAAGTTGTCTTCTTCCGTTAACATACGTTCTTTTAATTCTGCGTGTTCGAAAACTTCATCCAACGAAGTAGGTTCTAAGTTTTCACCATTACCTTCATCTTCCATTTCTTGCGCTTCTAATGCCCATTCATATTCAGCACCATTACCGAAAACTTCAAATAATTGTTGTAAACTTTCTCTATCAACATTAGATAATTTAGAAGTATCAAGCCTTGGACCTTTCTTTTGAGCGCGTTCACGTTGCTGAGTCAATTTGCGTTGACGTTCTTCGTCCTCATCGGAATATTCGTCTTCTTCGATAAAATCTTCGAATTCATCTAATATATTACGGTCATCGTCCACACGAGTCTCACGTAAGTCTGCTCGTTCTTCTTCATCATTATCTTCATCGGAGAAAATATCGGTTAACCCGCCTCTCCTAGATTCATTTGCTCCTGTCCCTTCTTCATCTCCTTCTGTGTCTTCAGTATGTGCTCTCTTAAGACGCTTAAGCTTATTCGAGCTAGGTTGAGGTCTCGCACCTGAATTTTCCATTAATAACTCCAAATCATCTTGATCCAAGGCATCATTCTCATCATCATTCGTGCGTTCTTCTCTCTTTCTCTTCTTATGCTTTCTTCTTTTACGTCTTTGACTTTCATCTTCGTCATCGTCGACAATGAATCCCTCCCGAACACGTTGAATGGCTTCCTCATCATCGTCATCGTCATCTTCTTCAGAAGAATCTAAGACATCATCACCTTCTTCGTCAGAGCTATTTTCAGAGGCATCATTACGGATTTCCCTCTCTTCTTCAATATCTTCTTTCGCCATTTTAATATAATCGGTACTCTTGTGTAATTGATGGAATGCACCGAGTAGAGTTTAATCAATGATAATATTGGGATCCAATTATGATTAATCTTCGATCGAACTTCTCACCAACGTAAATATATTTCTAATTTACGTATACAAGGGATGAAATTTGATTATATTATACTTAGTATAAGTACCAATAAAGAGTTTAAGGTCTAGCGTCCGTTGACATATTCAATAATCTTGTTTTTCAAGTTGAAGAATTCTTTGATATTACACAAAACCCATTAGCCTATATCGGCCGGGTAACAATTAGTTTACTATATACTATCTGTTCTGGCTAAAAGAGCTGATACATGTTCCCCAAATAATGATAGTATAAAGTTTGATGACTTATGTGAATATTGTGATCCCGTGCAAGGTAAATCTGCTTGTTCAGGATAATATTCCTAATTTTTGCTGTAAAAAGTTTGATATGTCCTTAGACGTTAGTTTTTTTTTCGAAGTTGATAGTTGAGAAGATTTTACTCAAGGAGGAGTTCTTTGATATTATGGCTCTAAATGTAGACAATTCTATAATACTATTATTCGTGATCCTATGCAAAATATGACTTGATTATGTAGATACTATTCTAAAACTTATTAATCACAGTAAAAAAGAAATAGGTATCGAAAACCCGGCTGATATTTTAGAAATATTAATGCCATTAATTGCATTTGCATTAGTATCTGAATATATGTCAGAAGTGAATAAGGCAAATGATTAGAGAAATAGAACAAAGGAAAGAAACACAATGATGTTTACTATCATCAGTACTATTGTTGGTATATTAACTATGCCATTAGGTACTATTAGGATGTTAATGTTTTATCCATTAGATATACTATTTATATTTAAGCATTGGAAGACCTAAAATTAGGCATATCATTAAATTTTATCGATAAATTGAATAAATAATAAACAAAGTAATAATAAAATTAAACTATTTAGCGTTTGTAAACATTATAACGACTAGTTTTTTAAAAGCTTGTAAGAAATAATAAAATTTAAGTAAATTTTTGGTATTTGTAAAAACGTTTCATAATAATTCTATTTTGGTAAATACATTTTATAATCAAATTCTAATTCAAAATTAACTTCTGACAATGGTATTTTTTCTGGG